TCTGCCTTTGTGACATCCCGTACAGATTGCTGCCTTTGTAACCCTCTTATTTTTCTTTGAGAGGCGTTGGAACAAACCATGAATCCATAAACCCATAAGGCCAAGAATACCAACTCCAAGAAAGAAGAAGATAGACAATGACAATTACAATTACAGGGTAGTAGGGTACCACTTTTAAAAAAAGAAGGCAGCGATGTGCAACTGTCTTTCAAAATACAAACTACAATAATTGAGAACTGCAACCTACAATTTCAAATTTCAAAACAAACTCCACCTACAAATTTCAAAAGGTGAACTCATAAATGTCAACAAAGGCATTGCATTACATTACAAGATGTTCAACAAACATCACTTTTTTTCTTCTTTTTTTACTCCCGGGGGTGGGGTCTGGGGGTCTGGAGGGTCTGGAGTAATCATGGCTGAAATTCAGCCCATTGAGTTTCGAAGTTCGAACCCTTATGTGCCTAGCAGGTTTCGAACTCGAGACCTCTCATTAGGCACGGTAACATCACAACCAGCTGGGTTGGAATGTTTGGTTCAACAAACATCACTTAAAACATACATTACATGACAAAAGGGGTCATTAAACCCATGATGAGTACACATCTAAATAAACAAGCATAACGTAAAACATACATTACATGACAAAAGGGGCATTTACACCCATGTTTAGTACACATCACATTACATTACATAACGGGTTTTATCCGTTCACAGAATGCACGTCTATGGTGCAACCAGTCTTCACATTCACTTTGCAACACTTCCCTATTCTGTATAGTCCCCACTTAGAGTACTTGCTCACTTGATAGTCCAGGCTACTAAAAAACAATGAATTACATATAAGCAACTTCATATGCTAAATGAATTGACCTAATTTGATATAATAAATTCATACATCTAAAACAAAATACCAGTGAATCAGTGATGTCAACATTCACAAGAAGTATCAAAAACAAATTTTGAATTCAACTTTAATAGACCTAATTAATTATTCAGGAGAAAACAAAAACTCAGGTGGACCAAAAGTTGATTTGGTCCGCTTCTGGACTGGCCATGTTCAGGTATGGGGGAAACTTGAAGACAAATCAGTTCTAGTTGTTAGAGGAACTGAAATCACAACCGGTGTGACCAGATCGGGTTCTGAACTGTAAAAAATCAACTTGCTTCATTCAGTCCGTTTCTGGAACGAGGTCCACTCCTAACTCAAGATTATATACTCTATCTTATTCGCACTTATAGGTTTGTGTCGTTTAAACTTGTAGATAAGTACTTACTTAAATGAAATACAAATTCAGAGAAATAACTTCAACAAAGGAGACGGCCAAAGCACTGCCAAATCCCTCCAGGTACCCCATCGTCGGCCATGGAAGCTTGAACTTCGAATTAACGTTATCTTTAGAATATAGATTTTTGAACGACACAATCGTGTCCGCAGGTCGCCCGCACATGCAAGTCGCACCTGTTCGGTTTCAGGATTTGATTCGCACCCCCCTGTGCGCAAAGAGAGCCTTTCCACCTAAGAATCTTAACTCCTAAGAATAGGCTTCCCTTTATAAAGGGTTGCAAATCCCTTGAGTTTTCCAGTGTGGAAAAAAACCACACTAGAAACCCATCTTTTCCTAGTTTTCTCCATTTCAACGAGTGAACTTCGAGAATCAATTTCTCATTCACCCGTAATCCATTTTGGGCGTACCATATATCCGTTTTACCAAGGACAATCCGAAACCACTTTGACCCGACCCAAATCGGAAGTGGATCTCACTCAAAATATTGCCCCAAAATGACCATTTAACACAATTTATTAACACATTTAATGCCGTTAAAAGCACAGTTATCTTCAAGAATTCATTTGAATGTCTTCCTGATTGAATTTTTAGCTAAAATTTGGTATGAGTAAACTTGACTTAATGAATAAGATGCTCAAAAAAATTGTCAAAAAAATCCACCGGGAGCCACCTCAAATGGCACGTCCGGACAAAATCTTCTATATAAAGACTTATTTGACCCCTTTTTTGCAACTTCGAGGACTAAATTGACCCTTTACTCTTTATATATCTTTATAACTCAAAATTAACGTCTATTTCAGAAAGCTGTGCGTGCAAATGGCAACGTACCAAACCTTGAGATAACATGGTATTTTCATTCCAAAAATAAAATACAAAGGAAGATGCAGCCACGAAGAATGCTTCAACCAGCAATGAGTCACCATGTGCCAGATTTTAAAATGCACCATGTTTCACCTAAGATCTCACTTAAACTAAGCTACTCAGTTTCTAAATTAACAAAATCTAATCCAGTGGAGTGAACATCACGTCGAGTTATTCCGCCCTCCGTCGAGATGAAATCTGAACATCAATTGAATTTCAAATTTCATCTAGACGGTTGGAAGAGCAACTCCACGTGAAGCTAATTTCACCGGAGTCCATAAGAAGAAGCAAACGAGAATCATATGACATTTGCATCTTTGAGAGCACATAACATGGAATACGCGGCTGAGTTCTCTGCATCTCTGATCCGCAACTTTTTGTTTCCGAGAGCAAAGAGCACCCGAGACCTCTTATTACCAACCGTAATAGCTAAGCCATCACTGCTACCTACTTCAACTGAGCAGACAAAGTTCTTGTCGTGTGATGGGCCTATCTCCTTCTCAACACTACAAACATGAGGACAAAGATTAGCCAGGAATTCACAACAGTTTGTTACAAATGTGGGGAACTGTTCACTAACAGCAGAAGTCAACTCCTGGCTCTTGTTTATCTAGGAAACTAGAGAACAGAAAAATAAATTTTGTCTCTCCAAAAAAAATTTGTTTTTTTGTGTTCCAAATTTAGGAAACATAAAAAACATTTTTACTTCACGAAATGTTTTAGAATATATAAAAGTTATACGATAATTAGAAAAACACTTTAACTTCAGGGAAACTGTTAACTACAGAACATATGTGACATTTGAAATATGTCTTGGTAACAAAAATTGAAAAACCACACGAGAGAATAGAAAAAGATGACAGAAGTGGGCCAGCAACTTTGCTGAAGTTGACAGCTTCATCTAACAAGTGCATACTTTGGTGCCAAATGTCAAGGCAATAAGTCAAGGTAATGAAGCTCATTTAAGAAATCTAGGAATGATGCGAAGTGGTAATAAAGCTTGTTAAAGAAAAGAAGTCAAGGTAATGCCACCTAAAAGTGGTGTCTGACATCTAAATTTTAGAGCATAATTCTCCCCAAGGCAGTTTTTAAAAAATTACACGGAAAAAGGTTAAACCAAGAAATGAAACCGGTAATGCTAAATGTGAAAAGCCTTCCAACCAAGAACCTATACTATGTTATCCATTAACATGGGAAATCAGAACTTTTAAAGTCAAATGAATTAAAAACTACTCTGGGAAATAAGTCTGTACCTGTAAGTAGGTTTCGACCATTTTTTTTTCCCACAAAGTTCATACAACTTTTGCTTTGCTCCATCATTGCCCTTCGTCTCATCGAACTCAAAGTTAATTTTTTCCACTTTATAAGCCAGCTTCTGTAGTGCAGCCTTTGCGGCATGAAGCCTCGCATTTTCCTTTTGCTCTGAAGATGAAGAGACTAGGTGTTCTCCATCGATGTAGATGCTTGCAATATTGTTCTGTCCAATCTTCTTGTGTCTTATATCAAGACATTTTCCAACTTTTTGGCAATGCTCAAATAGCATTGTCACAGGCTGAGGTTGGTTTTGCAGCACATCAGGGGTGATTATTGGCTCCAATAAGCCTCTAAAGACCTAGCACCAAAAAAAATGGAAACCATATACAATGGATAAAGTAATACAGAAGGGGCTTTCGTTTATGCAGTTATTTCTGGATCAAGAACCAAGACAAGTCAAATCAACCAAACTCATCCTCTGTATTTTCAAAAAGAGATACTTAAGTAGTTCTAAAAAAGAATACAATAGGGTCGCAGAGAAGCATTTATTTCTAACATGCTTTATAAGCAGAGGGGCTTGTAGCGCCTGTTGCAAAAATCATATCGTAACGTAGCTTTAAGTTATTCTTCATTTGCCCACTTTGTGTTACTTCTAAAGTTCATTCATCATAAGCTCAGCATCATAGTCATCGCATGAGACAACACAGACATGTGACAGAAAGAATTTGTGCATTATTTGTCACACACCCACACTTACCAAATGTGTATTAGATGGGGGCTGAAAGAATAAACAGAGAAGATGCCTAAGAAAGAGGAATTAGGCACTTAGGCTATAAAACAATTGTGACTAACTGCTTAATGTGAGTGAGCAAGATTCCAAGAAACGACAATCGAAGCTAAAAAATGCAAGAGAATGACATTATTACATCAGCTAAATTGTGTTTTCACATCAAATCAAGATTATTAAGCATTTTACTGCAAAGAGCATGGCAATATCTCCAGTTTGTGTTGAGAAGCAAGCTCTTCAAAAATATGAAGACAGAGAACAAATTCAAAATTGCTCTATGTCAACCAATGAGTTTCATTCATAACTAATCACAACACTGCTTATAGACTTCCACAACCTTCCATATTTCCATGTTTAGAGTGTCTGAGTAATGAAAGCACCCCTTGAGGATATTTTTAGCCAAATTAGACTAGCAATGAAAATATGGCCATTATGCAGCAATTAGCAGACACTGTACTGCCTAATAGATTAGTCCTATAATTGAATAGATACAGACCTTCCAAAACTCCTTCAAATCGAACCCAACGTCAACATATACAGCAGCTGCTATAGACTCAACGATGTCTGCGAGAATTTTCGGTGCTTTGATTGCTCCGCCATAGAATTCGGTCTCGTCTTCTTCTTGGACCACTAGCACAAACTCCTTCACCTAATACAACACAAATCCAGCCAAATTTAAATCAAACAAAATCAATTCTTTGAAACTAAGTCATCCATTCCCAGCCTTCTAAGGCAGGTACATCAAATTCTACCAGCATTGGAATGAATAAAAATTGAATTAATGACCACTGTAGAATTCAAAAGTATACCTTTTCTTCAAGAGAAGGGGCATTGTGGCGGACATATCTGTAGAGGCTGTGACGGACAGCTACCCTAGCGAGCTTCTCGGTGCTGACATTGGCTGACCTAAGAAGAGAGAGTTGGCCGGGGTCAAGCTCGGGATAGGACAAGTAGACGAAGTTGGAGATGGCCAGCCCTAAAGCCATGTCACCCAGGAATTCCAGACGCTGGTAAGAGGAGGAGTCTGTGAAAGAAGAGTGGGTAAGAGCTTCCTCCAGAAGCTTCCTGTTGTTGAAACGGTACAGCAAAAGGTGCTCCAGAGCGTTAATAGAAGCCGCCATGTCGGAGATGGGCTGCGACAGAGCCGATAAACGCGCAAACGGATTCATAATCCGTAACCCTGTTCGGAGCGTTATATAAAAAAGCTATGAAACTGTTATGGAATGTACAATGCAATGAGGCGAAGGTATTGCGATTAATATGCAGTGTTATACCATAGTCTAAGAAGTGTTTGGTTCATACCTTCTGAAACAGGAATTCACGAGTTAGTACACCTTGTTGCTGCCGTTATTACGGAGCTGCGGCAGAGAATCAGAGATATCGGCAACCTCAAACGCACGCGCAGATTATATACTGTAGTAATGGCAACCTAGTAAATTAATTTCTAATCCCACTATTCTTTTATTTTGTTTCTATATATACACGTACTTATTTCCGTTTTAAATTCCTTCTTTTGTTTTTGGAAATACACTATCATCAATTTTGAATTAATGGAGAACAAAAATATCTAAATTTGTTTGAAATAATTAGTATGACTAAAATGAACACTACTTACAAAAATATGATTAATGATTAAAGTAATAAAGAAATTATGGTAACTTATGTTCAATTTTTAAACTTAATTTACTATGGAAAAAATAACAGAGAGCGTAAAAAGGTCGATGGGTTCTTCTCCATTACATTGGCTTGATTGGGCATTTCTTCTTGGTCAATCCTGCTCTAAATTCTTTCCTTTCTATTCGTTTGAATCGGGAAAGATGTTTTAAGACCAGAAAATCAAGAAATCCGACTTAAATCGCAGATTTACTTTTTGACGTTTATTTTGATTTCTAAAGGTGTTTTGAGATCATATTCTCACAACCGCGGTCTCTCCCTGGCAAGTCTAAGGTTTGGTTCTTCCTTAGCAGATCTAAGGTTTGGTTTCTCCGGCCAGTGAATCACTTTGACCTGTGTCTGATGCTGGGATTGGATTTGATGCAGATTGACAAGAATCCTTGCCCAAGCTTGACGACATCAAAGTCAGAGTTCGGCGATCAATTTTTTCGTGAGGCGGTGGATTTGCTACGAGCACGGGACGAGGAGAGTTGCACGAATTTCGAGCACGCCAAATGATGGTTGACAATGGGGGATCAATTAGAGTGGTACCAAGGATATGACCTCCTCATGAACCACCACCATGGATTGTACGAGATGCTAGAGGCCGTGAAAGTTTTCCAATAAGTTTTCATTATTGGGTCATTTGGTTTCTTGTTATCGTCTATATTGTTAGGTTTGTCAGTTTGTTTGGGAATTTAGCCTTGTTTAATGTCATTAAGCATGTTTGGATCTATGGGAATATGGATGGTTGTGTCAAGCCCGTTACATGGTTAGCGATTCGTGTTGCTCTTTCAGGGGTGACCGTTTCTAAGGCTCATCATAGGATTTACAGTCGTAGTTGTTGGAGTCTAGTTGGTGTCAGATTTGTTTTTTCTTTGATTGATGTAATGATCCTGAAACTTATGATATGAATAGAGGCTAATTTTCATTTTAAAAAAATCTTTCCTTTTCTTTACTTTACTTTTCCCATTTTTTTTTCTTTTTCATCAAACACAAAAAATGTAATTAGAATTTTACTTTTCTTTATCTATTTTTTGTTCTTTATCAATTCATAATAAAAAAAAGTATTAATCTAAGTAAAATAAGTATATTACATTTTACATTCATACGCTACTTTTATTCTTGTAATATTTTTTTGTATTATAAACTTTTTTGTAATGTTTTTTTGTATTATATACTTTTTGTATTATAACCTAAATAAAACAAGTACATTACATTTCACATTCATACACTCTTTTTATTTCTATAATATTGTTTTTTGTATTACACACTTTTTTTGTAATGCTTTTTGTCATATTCATACACTTTATCTCTTTTATATGTTTTTAGTGTTTTTAAGATATTAAATTTGATTATTTCAATTTACATTAAATAAAATATGAGATTACATCTTCACATGAGTGGTTTACATTTCCACACGTGTGAGTTATGTTTAATTCTCAAGTTCTATTTGATAGTATATGGAGTTGCATCTTCTAGTGTGCGAGTTACCTCTTTTTATACTTGAGTTAAATCTTAATATGCGGGAGCTGCATTTGGACTTGCTTCAATAAGTTACATTTTGCATACACCTAAATTAGATTTTCCATCAAAGCGATTTACATTTTTCATAACAAGATTTACATCCCAAATTCAACTCCCCCTATTGAAACAAAATAATTCCATGCAAAAAAATGATTTTTTTTTCAAACAAAAATAATTTTTTTCATTACAAAACACATTCACTATTTATGTTAAGTAATTGAGCAATTGGACTCCTTGTTTTCATTGTTTACAATTAAATCAATGTTTTATTTATTATACTTCGTATTAGAGAAGTTACATTTCAATTTGCATGCAGTTAAATTTTTTATCAATGTGAGTTATATTATTTTACACGCGAGTTACATCACCCTTCTATTGGGACAAAAAAAACATTGTTGACGCGTGTTACAATTCACGAGTGTTTTGGCTATAACTGCATCATACTCACCATGAACTGCTCCGACGATATGACAATTGAAGAGCACGGTGTATTTTTTTATTCATAAAAAAGATTAGGCATGGACCCGGTTCGGGCCGCCCGGCCCGGGACCGGCCCGGCCCGCCACTGTGCGAGCCCGGAACCGGCCCGGTTCTCGGGTCCGGGTCCGGGTCGGGCCTAGGCCCGGTGGGGTGGCCGGGTCCGGGCTCGGGCCTTGAATTTGGCGAACCGGCCCGGCCGGGTCGGGCCCGGGCCGAATTGATTTTTTTTTAATTTTTTTTTCTTTTTTTGGGGTTAACCAAGTTGGGCTTGATGGTTAGGAGGGGTTTGGGGGTTTGGGGGGGTGTGGGGGTGAGTGGGGGGGTTAGGAAAGCAAAAAAAAAAAAAAAAAAAATTATAACCGAACCGGAGGCCCGGCCCGGCCCGGACCCGGACCGGACCCGGTGGCTACCCGGGCCGGTCCCGGGCCTTCCTTCCCAAAAAAAAAGCCCGGCCGGGCCCGGCCCGGAACCGGAACCGGCCCGGCCCGGGTCCATGACTAAAAAAGATGTATGAATGATTTTTAAAATATTACCTCTCTCTTATACATTGTCGACTTTGAAAGGAAACGTATAGTAAACAAATGTATGATTAAGAATTCTAAAACATAGAAAGAAAAATTGAAGCACAAATTCATTATTTTAAAAAAGAAAGAGAGTAATAAAGTTTTTAGGACAAAAAGAAAAAGGAAAGATGGGCAAAATTCAATAGAATATGGAATAGTTCATTCTGAAATAGTTTTTAAATATTTTTTAAAAAAGAACCTTAGCAATTCAGAGTTTGAAAGATATAATCACTATCAATAAAGGATCTGAAAGATAAATGTGTTAATGTAGTGCCCGAATGATTGAAAAAATCAATCAAGCAAAATTACATTTGCACATAAAATTTGTACACTTTTTGTAAGCATCCTTAAGTTACTTGTGTACACAATCAAGTCAGTATAAAAATCAACAGTTGTAGTTCCAAAAGTTACTAAACGCGTAAAATATCATAAAGTTTGATGTACTTAATTTTTTTTATCCATTGCTCTTTTTTGATGAATATTTCTTCCTCACAACAGTTTATTACGGAGTAGTTCAAAATTAAAAGATTATATAATACTCCATTTCTAAAATTTCCAAAATAAAAAATAATAAATTCCTGATATTTTATATTTTAAATTAATAGTTTTCGATCATTTTATCTTTCAGGTTATTAATGATTAATAAAATTCTTTTCTAAAATTTTCCCATCCATTCACTTTAAGGCTTAACATGTTTTGCAGAGTATTTCGTTATATAAAATTCCATACTTGTCCATATTACACCTTACATCATATTTCAAAAAAAAATTGCGTACACTGCACCAAGTAAGAATTTGTGAGTGAATAAAATGCAAACTGCAAAGTCAAACTGTCAAACAACTTTATACTCCGTAGTAATATGGGATGCACATATTGGGCCTGTTTGGCAATCAGCGGTTAGCGATTAGTTGAATAGTTTCATTCAAAGAGGCGATCGATAGTTTTGTTCAGAGGCTAGGGTCTGCGAATATGAAAAAGAAGAGCGTGGAAGGGTAAACTTGACGATTAATTATTTATTTGGATCCGCTAACTATAAACGCTCCGCTTCCCAGTGTTTTGGTCTTCGACTTTTCGGCGGTTTCATCCAAAACGCTATGGGCAGCCTCCGTTTACCAAATGCAAAACAATCTGCGGTTTTGCTAGCCCAACACTCTGAAATAGTCAACCCTCCGTTTTTTGGCGGATCCGCTGATAAACAAATGGAGCCATTAACTTTGAGAAAATGAAGTGTAAAGTTCAATATCATCCCAAACATGAGGTGCAAAGTCAAATTTTTTCGACTCTTTATTTTAATATGCTGATGTAATTATTGTTATATCCGAAAAATATTGTCAATTATAGCATTATACAATCGTATTATCTGGCAACCAAATAATGTTAAAATATAGCAATATAATTTTTGGATGATAATAATTTATTCTTGTTTAGGAAAAACAGTAAGAGTGGGCATAAAAACCCAACTCTTCCTACGTAAAAACCGAAATCTTCCTACCTAACCCGTAATGGTACGAGCCGAATATTAGGTACTGAAGCGGTTCTATAGACTTTTTATCTTAATTAAACAAAAACTGTACGGTTTAAAACTAATACATGTCTGGTTCTAGATTTTGAAAAGTACATGTCTCGTTCTAGATTTTGAAAATCGAAAAATATTGAACCGAATGGTTCATAAATAATACTCTCTACGTCCCATGGACTTTGCCAACTTTCCCTTTTTGATTGTCCCAAAAATTTTATCACTTTCTTATTAAAGCAATTAATTTGTGGTTCTGCGCATTTCTTATTTCTCACCTACTTTGCATTTGACTCTTAAATTTTTCTCATATCAATAAATCACTTGTTCAAACTAATAATTTTAACCCATGTATACATTCAATCATCCCAAAATAACTAATTCGGGTTAAGGGGCAATTAGGCCACTAAGGTCTAACTTAGAGAGCGAATAAGACACTAAGCTAATTTATGGGGCAAAAAACATACTTTTGATGGTTATTTTATCAATTAAGCCACTCCCTAAGACCACTTAACGGAATCCAAACCTCAGCAATTCTTCCTATTAACTTTATTAAACTTGGGGTCTAAAATAAAAAATTAGAAAGTGGTAATAACCTCAGCCTATTCGACTTTATTAAGTCACTCCCTACACCACTTTAACTTACGTATACTAATCTCCCAGAAACCCTAAAACACTTGTTTTACAATGAAAGAGAGATCCAGACGAAGGAGACTAATTGTATATAGGATATACTACAAGTAAAGGTAATCTGAGTTTGGAATTTTATTGTTTTGGTTGTGCTTAAGAGTAGAAAGATTGTAGTTATAAACTATTTTCAATAAATGGAGATGTTTATACTATTTTCAATACAGATTGTAGTTATATATCTTATGCACGAGTAGAAAGATTATACAAGTTAGATTTGAATAAAACTAACGGAGTACGTTGTCCGGAAATCTCAATTTCCGTTAGAAACCGTTAATGAGTGGTTTAAATGACAGTAAAACCATAACAAATGTGTTTTTTGTCCCAAAAAATAGGTTGGTGTCTTATTTGCTCCTTGAGGTATACCTTAGTGGCCTTATTGCCCCTTAAACCCTAACTAATTCTGTATGTTGATACTAATTCTGTTATCCAATATCCAATAATGACAAATTAGTGCCGTATCCGTTCCTTGGACTGGATGTTTTAAGACAAATTATGCCGTATCCGTTCCTTATAGAATATACTCCCTCTGTGGCTCCGTCCCAATTTATTTTGCAAAATTTCCTATTTTGGGTATCCCAAAATAATTTTCCCCTTTATATTTTAGGTATGTAAATAAGAGTAAAGTGACAAAATTTACCCTTACTTTTACTTTTTTCCCATCAACTTAAAGACATCTACTTTTAGGATGAAGGACAAAAATGTAAAAAGCAAGCATCATTTATTATCATTCCTTAATTCTTGTGCCGGTCAAAGTTTGCAATTCATTTTAAGACGGAGGGAGTAGATATAGAGTTAGAATGTTTTTACTTAGACTGTAATTTCCTAATCTGGTCTGGTAGTGTCTAAACTCTTTGTATTTTCATAACTATTCAAATCTGGTTTAATCTGGGACAGATTACACTCCAAGTAAAAACATCTGTATAGCTAGATTGAAAAAATAGTAAAATTTTAAAAACATTAATGACTATTAACATCATTATTATGGACTTATGGTGTATATGACTATTTGTTGTATCATATTATGCTAGAAGCCTAGAACTAATGTGGTTGTTGTGTGATGATATTCATTTTATGTATTCACGTGATTACGTGAAATTGTGAAAATGGTGAAATTATCTAGGTGGTCTGGTTCCATATTTTTTATACGTAGTACTTCTCTAACTTCTAAGTGGTCTGGTTCCATATTTTTCAAAAAGCTGAAACAAAAACCTTATCAAGTGAATAATCATACCCATGTCTCTAAATTATCTACGTATGGTCAATAATCAGACCCATGACTCTAAGTTATCTACATACCCAACACTTGTCTCTCATCTAAATAAATTTAACCTCTCAGTTTTACCTTATGAACTATCAATTAGCCAATTAGATAGTTTAAAACATGGGTGTTCGTAAGGTAAAACTAAACTATCAAAATTTGTAAAACTTACTACGTACTAGATAACATGTCTTGAGACTTGCCCATCACATTAAAATAATTACATGTACAGAGATGGTCATGACAGTGTTCATGGAAAATAAATAGTTTGCAACTTAAAAGAGCTATTCCAAGCTTATATTTCCAAGGCCATTAAAAATAGGGAAAAACTTACCGTTAAAAACTTGATAAGAGTTACAAAGGCTGAACAACTTTAATAATGGAGGCTTCTAAAAGGGCCCCTAAATCGTTAACTCAATAACCCTGAAGAGTACATTACCACAACAAATGATCCTGCTTCAATATGAAAAAGATTTAAACTACATAGCAGCTTTGACTAGTCTCTGGTGAAATAAAATTGGGTGTCAATATGCCATGCAAATTTCTTTTAGTCCAAGCTCTTTTTTAATTCTTTCCTATATACCTCAACTGTAGGACTACCACATGAAAAATTCAGATCTACCACGCCTAGGCCCACACCAGAGTGGTTGTCACTTGCGAGTTTTCAGTTTCTTTTTTCACTATATGTTAAGCTACAGTTTTGAGTTAAACTAGTCTCCATATTTTCGTCAAACAGTTATTACAGAACCATTCAGCAGATCCGCAACTAGGCGGGATCAAGAGAATTTAGCTCATCAAAAAATGATCAAAACCTCCTTGAACTTGAAGGGATGCTCGGGGACCTTGAGGACCTTGCACATTCTGAAGCAACTGTTGTAGCCACCTCCTACTTAGTGGATCATCCTGCAATAATAGAGTAGAGTTCACATATATGCAATTGAGAAAGGGCTAAAAGAAATATAAATAGTACTTTTGCTGTAACATGTATCCTGGAAGAAGTGTCAAATAAGCCCTCAAGCCCCTCATACCTTCTCCAAATTTTCAATTAAGCCCTTGTACCCAAAAACATCAATGAAACATATGATCTTGTTCAACACTCAACTAGCATTTTAGCGTTTAACCTTGACCCATCATTGCCGCATCATCAGCTTCTCACATTCTATTTTTATTACTTATCTTCCCCTATTTCCACCAGCCCCGCCACCTCGGCCACCCATATCCCTGGCAACCACAGGCTGTTGCCAATTTTTTAAAGAATTGGTCGGCAGCTATGGTGGCGGATAGTCTTTTTCTCCTGACAGTGGTGGCGGTGACTGGTGAAAATAGGGAAAAGATAAAGTATAAAAGAAATAAATATAAAAGAATCTTACAATGAGGTAGCAAGATCAATTGAAAAGCTGTAGGTAACTTGTAAAAATGCTAATTGGCAGATTTCCGTAGTCATCTCCATTTCTAAATTATGGTGCAACTATGCTCTCCTCTATTGGAAAAAAGATATCACACTTACACGAAGGCTGTTGATGGTGGATGCATCCCTGAGTATGCGTGGCAGACCATTTCTGAGTGCATCACAAGCCCTGCATAAAAAGAATTCAACAGGGAGTATTGAGGCCAAACCCAAAGCACCAACGGGAAGTAGGACAACGTAGCAGCAATGGACCAGACCTTGGGTTGTCCGACAACCTAAGGTAGCACCTAATTATATGCTTGAGCAACCTGGGTGAAGGCTGATCGGCAAGCGCAATCAACATATTTTCCAACACCCTGCCCACTGCAAAAAATCTCTCTGCTGCGGTACATACATACTCCAGACCCATATCATCCAGAAGGATTTTTTGCACAATAAATGTGGCAACCTATGTCAGCACAACCCCTTAGTCAGATGCATGGTTAACAAGTTGAGGTATCACCAGAGAATTTTACACAACATCCAAGCATATATAGTCAAATATATTTAAAGGCGATAAATTGCAATATCCGTGAAGGACCAAAAGCAAAGTAGTTCAGTAACTTCAGGAAGGAAAAAGTGGTGTGACCTCAACAACAAAACTAAAAGTCCAAAGAACTATAAAATTGTGGGAGGGGTTGTGTAACTGTTTTTGATAGCTCACTGCCCATCTCCATTGTGCGCAGACAGAGTGGAATTATTTCCGTTGAAAGAAGGAAACTGATAACAGCATTGTCGTCAACCTGAACAGATTCAATCAAGAACATTACTTAAAAAGTATTATGTCGTTCATTTAGATATGTTCTTGTACAAATAGTATTGAGAACAATATCAATCTTTTCTTAAATGTGAATCTGATATGGTTATGTGCTTCAGACATTCATTTACATATCTATTCTTGATGGGAGCAAATTAGGGAGAGAAGAAGAGAATGAAAAATCGATAAAGAACAGTTACCTTCACCAGGGCACCAATGACACCTAAGCTAGTAAGCCTCAGATACTCAAAAGGTCTCGATTTGCTAGTTGTATTGAGAAAAGGATACAGATACAGAGGAATATGGGCTACAAAAAGAGAATAGAGGAGTCAGAATAAGTTTGGATAGAATCCCACTCACAGCTGTATGCCTACGTGTTTGCTATGTGATAAACATGTCAACGAACAAGAAGCTTGTAGGAATTCAGACAAAAAAGGTTACTTGAAAGATTTCAAGTCCTTACTAGAGAACTACGTAGTAAAACACTATACCAAACTCAACCTTCTGTTATGGGTCATTGTCTCTTCAAACTATCATGACGTTAAACAACAATATGTGAACTAAAGTAGTAAACAAACATTTCCAGATTTTTTGAAATGATACTTACCATTCATAAATAGCAATCTGGTGTCTGGGTGAGAGGCTACACACTGCAAAGCATAGAGGAATGGTTGATTAGCTAAAAAATATAAGGGCTCAAAGATTACTCTAAGAGAAGGATATATAGTCTGCTGAATGTTGGTTACTATAATAGCATACTACAAAAGCGAAAAACTTACATTATCTCCCTAGATATTTACAACAGGAACTCAAAATTACAATTTACTATCAGCAACCATATATATATTGTGTTAATAAAACATGCAGCTTAAAAACAATTCTTACTGTGGAGATCAACCCTTCAATAAAAAGTCTGTTATTTCCTTGTAATCTTCTGTGAAAAATCATACCTAGCCCTCATGAGTGAAAATTCATACCTAGCCCTCATTTGTCCCTGCCTAGGCACTAGCTTGTCCATGGACACCTCGGTTAGTTCTGCTAATCTGCCTAGCTCGTGTCTAGACTCTAGACCCGCCTAAGTCCAGTCAAACCCTAAATCAATCATTACCCAGGAGCTAGGCAACTGCTGCAAGCGTGGCACCTAATTCTTTTTACAAAATATCTCTTGGTATGATGAGCTACAGCTATAAATTGATCAATAGTGATTTTTTTTAATTCTTTCGAGGCATGTGACAAAGAAAATTTCACCTCATGATATATAATTAGACATTTGATTTTTTGCATTATTTGGAAAGTAAAAAATATTGACTATGCTTTCACCAATTTATTCGAATGGAAAACAATAAAAGGTTGGACTTTAACCGGAGAGCAAACAATTTTATGTACCTGAAGAAGTGCAAGTGCATTACAAACTCTATTTGATTGTGCAGGAGTAAGATTAGGTGGTGATAAAACTGGGTAGATGGAAACAATTTCCTGCAAGCATGGCAAAACAGAAGCATGCAAAACCCAATAAAAAAATAGTAGATTGTATTTACCAAATACCAGATCAGTGTTCACGTTCCTTCGGTGCACAATGCTGGTATAAAAGTATAGCTATGGTGAATATTGTGAACCTCCATTCTGTGATGCTTCAATTATCAGATATTAACAAAACATCGTTCTAATCAATTCAAACTCAACTCATTTTTTAAAATTCAATTAGCATGTCAAGTTTCTATACCCAAAGGGTGAACAAAGGGAGAGTACGGCCAGGTCCTTCTTTCAGACCAGTGCACAGTAAGAGGCATGACAGATGTCGTATTTTCATATTGATTTGTGATTTTTTTGGGGGGAAGGGGGGCAAAACAATTTACAGAACAGGTGAAAGGATGTTTTTACCATACGGAAATGCTAGAACAATACCTGTAAGAGCGCAGCAACAGTACCAAATGAATTCCACAGCAGTGGGGCCAAATCTTGAAATATTTCTCTCTTCTGTGTAGAGAGAAAAGTTAAAGTTGGAAAGAACAAGCTTTTAAGTTCAGTCTGATGCAGACTTGCAATGATCAAGGTCATGAATTATTATTACAGAATACTGGTTATTTGTTAATAGAAATCTGATTAATCATGTGCACTTTTGCAGTCAAATATCTATCTAAATAAGGAAAAAAACAGATATACGAGATTTAAAATTGAGTTGATGGCAATAGCATTTGCAAATTTAATCTAAATTGATACAATGAACACAGCAATAACCAGACAGTTTAATACAGAAAACTTATGTAGTATTGAAGGCCCCTATATGCCCATATTCCATACATCCTGTTCCAATTTGACCTAAATTTCAAGAGAACCAACTATAGTTTAGAAGTGGTTCTCATTTGGCAATACTTTGTGAGTATATTTGAATTCAGTAAAACAAAGCAATAGAAGAAGAAAAATGCATTTAAAACAGAACAAGAGAATATTTGTAGCAACAGTTTTTTACCCAACCTTATAACTTCAGAGAAAATAGTAGGAGTAATAATCATATAAAAAGAAAAATACAATGCCACTCTGTTTCACAAGCCTCAGCAGATAAGTCACGTTACAGATATATCAAACTCTCTAGTCTGAGGGGTATATAATTTATATCTAAGAACTAACATTCAACTACCCTAGAAACAGAAATCCGCGCAGAAGAGCGTTATATGTTGTGTACCAAAGCAGACCAATCGTACACTTTGGAACACTTAAACAATCATAAAATTTGGTTGCAGGAGAAGTTCACTCATCACTATTAATGAAATAGAAGACGTTGATGAGTGTTTTGGACCTTGGAGAGCTCATGGAGAGCGTTTTCTCGGAGGTCGGGATTGCTGAGGTCGAGCACGAGCTGCTCGGCAGATTGCATCGTGCGTTCCCTGTTGGGCTGAGCCACGATGGCGGAGGAAGGGCCAGGACCTCCTCCGAAAGCGGCGGTGGCGGAGGAAGGGACATGGCCTCCTCCGTAAGCGGCGGCGGCAGCGGCGCTCATCTGGAAATTCTGAGGGAGATTAGCCATCAATGAAAGTTGTACTGAAACTCTTCTTCTGTACCGACCGATACGAGAGGGAAATGAGGAAACGGCAGAACGGAGAAGCAGGCAAAATATGGGAGTAGTGCAGTTTCATCATTTCAGAAAAGTGGCTTTGTCTTGCTGTTACACGTGCCTCGCTTTCTGGTTAAGGCAGTAGCGGTTTCTATTAAATATCCGTAGCCTACTTTAGAAAAAAATAAACAAAATGTCAAAATCTAAAGAACACTATTACACTAATGTCTAACAAATCGTTTTTAATTTTTTTTAATTGTCGAAGGTTGAATCTCCCACTCAATCGCATGTCTCGATACGACAAGATATTTAGGAGGTAAATTTTAATCAAATTATTATAATTTTTAATGAAAGATGGTATATATTGATATCACAGCATACAGATATGGGCTAAGAAGACAAAAAGATCACTGACAATTGCCGACATTCGAATTAGACTCAGAGTTAATCACCTCATTAGAAAAAATATAACTCGTTGATCCATTAATGGGCGTAACTGAGCCAAAGACGATCACCGTAGACTTCATGTCACCCAAATCCAAGCTCATACTCTTACATCACAACAAAATAACAAGCTGAAAATAAATTTAAAAAAAAAACATCATAAAAAACGAGTGCAACTAAAAAATAAAATCCCTGCTCCGTCTTTCAATAAGAAAATGCCAAATACCATCTTGAGCCTGCAACTCTAGCCTTTTCTGCACTCAGTGGCGGCGGTTCAGGAGGAGGTCTGGCCAACAGTACTGCATCTTCTTCTTCGTCCTGCTCCATGATTATCACACACCCTGTCATACATTCACGTTGTCAAATGTCAATCCTCATCTCATTGAATTGTGAAGCGGTGGACAAGCAAACCATGACTGACCACAACCTGCAAATTGAAGAAAGTGAACAAAACATGCACCTAGATCTTCGTACTTTTGTCTCCTTGCATTGGTAGCAATCAAACAGCCTGCGCCCAATTGAGCCAACAAACCAATCCAAAACCCAATCAGACAGCTTCTTCCGTCGTAGAAGCCAGGAGCACAGAGCAGCAACAAGGCGAGGGAGGCACTCTTCGTCGGCCGTAATGCGTGAAGCACCACCAGAATACCCTAGACGAAGCCTGCCGATTGAAAATGAAGCAACCAAGCCACGTCGCCCCACGAGTACATCTTCTCCGTGCTCTGGTCTTGCACCCTACGAGCACCAACGTACCACGAGAGAAACAAAAACGATGGTTGTACTCCGACTTATGTCGAAATTGAAAGAAACAGCTCTAGCGGCCGAAACCCTAGAGAGAGAGAGAGTCTGCTAATCAAATTATTGTTAATAAAACTAAATAATATCTACTTGACAAAACTATCTTGCCCTAAATTTAAACATGTATTGAGATGATACTGTCAAAAATATCTGACAGGATCTGCCATTCGGCCACCAATGTTAGAGGTGCTTTAAGGTGGATTTGTTTGATAAAGTTTTGTGAGAATGTTTTTCATAATGTGTAAATAATTTACGTCAAATTTCAGTCTAAAATTCAAACGAGAAGTCAATTGAATAAATTATTATAATATATTGTACCAATATATATATATATATATACATATATATACACACACACATATAACAACATAGTGTTTTTCCATACTGTATTTAATTTGACTTCCCGATTGAGTATTAAGCTAAAATTTGGTGGAAATAATCTACTATTCATGAAAAGTATGCTCAAAAATAATATCAAAAAATTATACCCGGAAGCATCCCAAATTGAGGCTTATATCAGGTAATTATGAGCCAAACTTTTCTCATTATTTCTATCTAATACTAATACATTGAGAAATAAAAAAAGTGGGGGAGGCCCCCTACCCCTGTATGTTCCTCTGCCCCTGAGTTAAGCAATGTATAATGTTTTTGTCCAACTCGTTATTTTGACAGGGTATCTCAAAGACTCAAACATGAATAGACATTCAGTTTTTTCTTAGTTAAAATTTAAATTTATGATTGTGTATTTATAAGTTTTTCTAAAATACTTTTTTCAAAATATGTAATTTAGAACTCGTTTGATAACACCGACATATATTATATCCGTTAAATCTATTGAAATTGATGAAATTCTATATAATCATTATTTAACGAAAAGAAATTATTCTGAGACAAATTTTGTTGTGCACCAAACGGGCAATCTGATTAGTTAATGTATACCACCAATGGAGGACCTAGGGGGCCTAGGGGCAAGTGTCCCCTCTTCGGGCACCTAAATTTAGTATCAGTACTTCAATATAAGGTAGACAAAAAATACTACTACGTATTATATAAGATGATAATTTCGTCAAAGGACATATGGTAATGGTAATAAGAAATGCGGAGTTGTGATGGAGGCATGTAGCGATTCCTTACAGTAAGAGATCGATGTTATTGATCTTGTCACTGCACTTTCTTAGTTTCTTTGAAAAGTGGCATTGATAATCTTTTTTATTAAATATAGATTACCTTTGTCCACAGTTAGAGGTCAAAGATATCACAGAGCACCTAATATGCAGGATGATCTTTATGGTTGAAAGACTCATCTTGAATGAACATTCATACACAATATACATTCATTATATTATTTTTATCACTAATTGCAATTGAATTAGTTTTTTTAATGTAAATGGGTTATATTAATATAACAAGAACCAGGCAAAATACAACACGACTATAAATCATAGTCCGGTCATACGCCCTTGAATGAGACTTTGAGTCAATCACCGACGCAGAAGCAATATGTCTCGCTAATCCCCATACGGGCGCATGTAAGTCATTCGTGACCGGTCCAGAATTCTCGCCACCATTTAAGAAAAATAAAAATAAAATAGAGTATTGAACCAACCATAACTTAAAATAATTAAAGACTGCATTTGTAAGACAATAAAATAGCAATGAGTCATCAATCACTACAAAAAAAGTGCACATAGACTGCACATGGACCACAATTGTTTTTGAGATGACAGCATAACTGTCGTTAAAAACACCATTAACCACACATTTTTTTATTTACCACACACAAAAAATGTGGTAAAAGCTTAGAGACGACAATTTTTAATCGTGACCAATGTTTTTACCACAGCTGTTGTGTCGACGCACGTAAAACTGTCGCAAAACTGTCGTAAAAACACAAGGAGGAACATTTACGACAGTTTTGCGTCAGTTTTACGTGCGTCGCCACAATAGCCGTGGTAAAAACATTGGCCACGGTTAAAAACTGTCGTCTCTGATCTTTTACCACAGTTTTGTATGTGGTATATAAAAAATGTGTGGTTAATAGTGTTTTTAACGACATTTATGCGGCCATCGCAAAAAAAAAAAATTGGTCTATGTGCGGTCTATGTGCACTTTCTTGTAGTGAATGTCCAACGATGTCGTGCCCTAGCCTGATTCATCTTGATCACCAGATCTATCACGACGATATGAACACCAATGTCATTTATTCTTGACTACTAGTTTTCACATGCGCGATGCGCGATTACATAGATGCCCAATGTGTTTTTTTCCTGAAAATATGTATATTTTACAAGTTACCATCACATTTGTGAATGAAAGATCGACTAAGAAGATTTGTAACATGCTCATTATAAATCTCCACCAATGAACATTTGCAGCTATATTTAAGTAGTGGGTGGACATATCGGCTCGATTTGACCAAATCAAACTAAACTGAACCCATTGAGATTGGTAGAATCTCTCCCAAATTGTATCCAACCAAACCAAACTAAAAAAATCAATAAAATCTTAATGTATCATCACAAAATAACAAATCTGAGCCGAACCAGACACATTAGTTTTTGTTTGGTAGTCATTCTTCGAATCCATTTCAAACCAAACCAAACAAAACTAAAACCGATATACGCATCCCTATTTTAAATATGAGGGGTGTTATTTTGCATTGTGGATTTCCCAGACTTTTGTAATGTGCTCTTCAATCCACCAAGCATCCTGTAAGTCTTATCACTTGAAGTAATTAGGTACACAAGTTACTTATCAAAATATTATGAACTCGGATATCGAGACTTCTCTCTTTAGCTGAATATAGTTGCTCTAGTGGCAATGCATTACTACATTCTCCATGCTATCTCTTAAAATGCCTCACTGCACATTCATCACCACCTGCATCAATACGCTTTATAATAAATTTAACTTCAAATACTCTAACTGAACTGTTCAAAACAATAAATACCAACTATGCACTAACTAAAAATGAACTCAAATTGCCTAAAGATAAGCAACATAGAAATCAGGATACGTCGTTGCTATTATTGCTTTAGTGGACATGCAAACAAACACAATGACACAAATTTTGTTGTTTAGACAAAGGATGTTTTTACTTGGACTGTAATTTGTCCCAGACCAGACCAGTCCAGACCAGACCAGACCAGTTCAGACCAGACCAGTTCAGACCAGACCAGACCAGACTAGACTTGGATAGTTATAAAAATACAAAGAAACCAGACCTTACCAGACCAGACCAGTTCAGACCAGACCAGTTCAGACCAAACCAGACCAGACCAGCAAATTACAATCCAAGTAAAAACATCCAAAATAGATAACATAAAAGACTTAATAACTTAAATTATCTTCTAGCTAGGGCCTAGGGGGTCTGTTTAGAAATGCAGAGCAATAAAATGCCTAAAAACAAAATACCTACGTAACTATACAAAGTCCTAAATATACTGGAAAAATGAACATGTGAATTTAATATCAACATTGCGCAAAAAAACTGAAAAGAAGGGTTTGATATTTTGGATTCATAGTGCCTGGAGAACACAACTATCAATTAGATTTTAAAAAATATAGCTAACAGCCAACAATATTTAAACATCATATACTACATACTCCGTATAATTTAAGTAACAGTTTAAAGTGAATTCACTATGCTTCAACCTTTAAACTATTTCAATATTCAATATATAAATTGGAATTCCATGTATTCAGAACTCAATGAATTGAAACCACTTATTTTTGGAGAAAACCACTTCTTAATTCTAAAATCTAGCTTTTATGATTAAGAAATATTTCTTTTACTATAAGATTAAAATCTGAAAATAGGCTTCCTAGGACCACCATTGTCAAATAAGAATTGTGGAGTGCCTT